AAGAAAGAAAGAAAGAAAGAAAGAAAGAAAGAAAGAAAGAAAGAAAGGAAGGAAGGAAGGAAGGAAGGAAGGTAGGTAGGTAGGTAGGTAGGTAGGTAGGAAGGAAGGAAGGAAGGAAGGAAGGTGTTGTGGCCCGCCGGCGGCTGACGGAGCAGGCAGCAGAGTCAGACAGTGGTGAGGAGGTTGGGGAGGAACCCGGGCCAGTCTGGGAGGCTGAGGAAATGTTGGATGAGGGCTCTGCAACAGAGGCAGAGGTGGGGCCAGTGCAGGCTGGCAGTCATCAGCTGCCTTCGGGATCAGACAGCAGTGAGGAGGGGGAACTTCTGGAACCGGTTTCCAGCCTGCGCAAAGCTGCTAAAAGGAAGGCACAACTAAGAACTCAGGGTCGACGTGGGAATAAGGCCACAGGTGGATGGTGAATGGCGGCTCCCATAGGGACTAAAAGGGGAGCAAAAGGGGAGGCAGTTTTGCAGGAAACAATTCGTTCATTCGTTCATTCCAGCCTCATGAAGATTTGTCTGTGTAACCTAGAGACTGTGCCCAGCCCTTCCCTGTCAGCACTGCGCGTGGAAATATTCCCCGGCAGCTTTCCAAGATCTGAGCTAATTATTATACCTTTGCAAGACTGTTTGCCAAGCCGTTGACTGAACATGAATGCAATAAAATTCACATTCATTTAATAAAAGAGGTTTTGCCGGGATTCAAGAGTTTGCTTAGTGCTTTTTGGGGAAGCCCAGGACAGAACAGAAAGAAAGAAAGAAAGAAAATAGAGAGAACTCACTCACTTCCTTACCCCTGATAAAATAACGTCTCCTGATTCCCGCAGAGCTGCCTCTTTCGAATCAACATACAATACCGAATTACTCATTACGTTGTCGTCTAGTTCTCGCCAATCAGGCCGGCTGGCTCCTATAGCTAAAATATAATATTGTCAGTTATTTCTGGAAAAATTGGGATGAAGCAGGCCCGGCAGTTAAGTCCTTTTCATGCAAATGAGAACGAAGCCACAGAGAGACAGATCTGCTCATTCCAAAGGCAAAGAAGTCAAACGCTTCCCCCCCACTACATTGCAGGATTTAAGTTCTATATTAACTTCCCAAATAGCTGGAGTTTACTCAAGCCCTTAACTTCTGTAAAGTTCAGGCTGGCCAAACTTAGCATGTGGACAAACGTAAGAGCTCTTTTTGTAGTTATTGTACCTGGGTTTGCGAAAACAAGCACAGAAGGGGGAGAACATCAGAGGTCACCAAGCTCAACCCCCAGCTAAGGCATAAAATCTGCAAGAACACCACCCTTGAAGGGTAGGCCATCTATCAACGCATATTTAACGGAGGATACGACATTGCTTTCCAAGCTCTTTTCTCGTGTTAATAGGAATTATCATCCAACAGGTTGTTCAAATCCCTTCCTCTTTTTTCATTTTGCAATTTGAACCCATAGCTCAAGAAAAATATCACACACACACACACACACACACAAAATATCACTAGGAAAACAAGCCTGCAGTGTAATTATACTGCAGAAAAAAATCAAATCGCGACGCATCCCTTACCATTGATATGGGCTCCGGGTTTCACCCACTCCCCACGCAAGATGGGCTGAGTTGCCATTGTGACTGTGACAATCACATCCGCCCCGTTGACAGCCATTTGGACCGAGGAACAGATCTGTACTGGTCCGTTCACCGTACGGGCAAACTTTTCTGCATTCTCCTTGGTGCGGTTCCAGATCCTTACCTTTCATGGGAAATTAAACAGAGGGTGTGTGAGAAAGACCTTGGAGACAGGAGGGAAAAACCACCAGAGATGGTATTCAGCAGGTTATGACCGGTTCTGGAGAACCGGTAGGGGAAAATTTGAGTAGTTCGGAGAACTGGCAAATACCGCCTCTGACTGGTCCCACCTCCTCTATTCTCTGCCTCCCATTGAGTCCCAGCTGATTGGCTGGGTCTTCTTTGGTTGCCCTGCACAGGAGAACGGAGCTGGAAAGCAGGTCAGTGGGGTGGGGAGGGAATGCGGATTTTGCAGTAACCTTCCCTTGCCACGCCCACAGAACCGGTAGTAAAAAAAATTTGAATCCCACCACTGGAAAAACCACAGATGGGAAAACGGGCAGATTAAAAGATGTCTCGGCGCACAGGAGGGAAGGTGTAGGAAACACTCCAGGAAGGACTCTCGTTAATTTTAAAGAGACTAGATAGTCCTCGACTTACAACAGTTCGTTTAGTGACCGTTTGAAGTTACAACAGGACTGAAAAAAAGCGACTTATTTCAGTTTTTTTCACACCTACAACCATTGCAGCATCCCTTCAGTCCCCTGATCAAAATTCAGATGCTTGACAATTGACTCATATTTATGACAATTGTACAGGGATGGGATTCAAAAATCCCAGCAACCAGTTCGCTGCCCAGTGGCTGGGTGGGCATGGCCGTGGTGAGTGTGGCCTACCGGAACTTCCTTTTTCCGGCTTCCGGTGGGCCTCCAGAGCCCGGGGGAGGCCGTTTTTGCCCTCCCAAGAGTCCGGAAGCTTCTCCCGGGCTTCTGGGAGGGCAAAAACAACCTCCCCCAGACTCTGGAGACCCTCCAGAAGCTGGAAACAGGCCCCGTTTCCAGACTTCGGGTACATCTGGAAGGCCCGTTTTCCCCCCTCCCAGAACCTTCGCGTGGACCCTGCACTTACCTGCATCAAAAAATGGGCCACGTGGAGATTCCTGGGAGGGGCGGGGTGTGGTGAGTAGGGCTAGCCGGTCGGTTGAAATACCGGTTCAACGAATCAGATGTAACTTTAACATCCGGTTCGCTCAAACCGGTCCAAACCGGTAGAATCCCACCCCTGCAATTGTAGCACCTAGGGTCGTCTTTTGCAACCTGCCAAGCAAAGCTCAATCAATGAGGCAGCCAGATTCACTTAGCGATCCTGTGACTTAACGTGAACAACTGCAGTGATTCACTGCACAGGTGTGAATGGCACGAAAGGTCGTAGAACGGGGCAACACTCACTTAACAACTGCCTCGTTGAACCACAGAAATTGTGTGCTGCGTTTGTGTGGGTGAATGCCGAGGATTACCTGTAACCGGAAAGGAGGGGAGAATTTCTGGCTGGGGAATTGCGGGAGTCCAGCCTCCTTAAAATGGCCACCTTTGCAAAACAGGGATCTAATCTATCAGCTTTGAATGGTTTAAAACAGCAGTGTTTTTTTTCCTGGTGTAAATCGGATTACTCACCTCTTTAAATGAGAACAGCTCTGTGAAAAGTTCGTAGTGGCTGTAGGCCTGGACACCAGCTCCTAAAATGCAGAGGACCTCTGAAACCGCAGGCATTAAATACTGAAAGTGCACACATTAAAGAGAGGAAAAAAAGGATTCTTGTTAAACATGAACTTCTTCAGCTTAAGACTTTCTCTAAAATAGATGGCCTCGTTTCTTCTCTTCAATACAAAACGCCCATGGTTAAATTTGGGGTGGCTTGGCATGTATTTAGGATGGGCTGCAGCCTGAGTGGGCAGCCGTATAAATTCTCCAAACAAATAAATACATATAACAATCGAGCAGCTTCTGGTCTTTATTTTGTCTACTTAAAAGGAACTCACCTTGGTGGCTATTGCCGAAACAGCTGCCGTACGCTTGGCCGTAATGACGTTGCCATCCATCACCTTTTGGAAAGAAGATCATCAAAAGGCCAGGACCAGAAGATAAGAAACAGAGATTTAAAAAAGCAAGTTTTGTGAAAGCCGTGAATTTAACACACCCTTTGGGAGAAGGGGGTGTCCGTTCCTCTCCCATGTCCGTTCAATTGTAAATGACACCCATTGTGCCAGGATGCATCCTTTGTACAATTAGGCTGCCACTGAGATCATTTAATTATGCCAAATGATGCTAATCCTATTCTTACTTAAATGACAAAAAGATACATATACTTGTCTTGGCCAGGATATTTTGAATGCAACAGGCTTGGCTGTGCTGGCTGGGGAATTCTGGAAGCCGAAGTCCATACTTCCTGAAGTTGCCACGGTTGAGAAACACTGCCTCGGAAGCATGGGAAAACTTGGAATAAATCAAAGTTGGCTAAGAATTTCTAGGAATCGAGGTCCAGACATCTCACTGTTGCCAAGATTGAAAAACACTGCTGGAAACCAAACCAGGCCATGGGCTGGCATGGGCTGGTCTAAGATGTCTATTTTTTTTTAATTTTATGATATTTGTTTGTATCCCGCCTATTATCTTTACAAATAGTTCAAGGGAGTGACTGTATCTAACACACCTTCCTCCTCCTATTTTCCCCACAACAACAACCCTGTGAGGTGGGTTGGGCTGAGAGGCAGGGACTCATCCAAAGTCACCCAA